CTTGTTCTGTTCTGACTGAAAATGGATAATTAGAAAAGAAAATTTCTAACATGATTCTTTCAGCAACTACCTTTAGTCTATGTCCACTGATTACATAACTTTCTGCCAGTTGGACCATTTTCTACTTACACTATCTAAATGTATTACGATTTTGAATATCTCCAAAGAACCCTTAATATTCTCTGCTCTAAGCAGAACAAACCTAGCTTTTCCAGTCTCTACATAAAACCTAGTCGATCTTCAATGCACCCTCTCCAGGGTCTTGGCAAATTGATGTCCAAAACTGGACACAACATTCCAGCTAAGGCCTTAACAGTGCTGTTCAGGATCTTCTCCATACTTTTATATTGTATGGTCCATTATAAAGGCAAGGATTTCATAAAATATTTTGACCATCCTTACCAACTTGTGCTCTCATCTTCAAATATGTAAACATAGAGCATTCTGTCATTGGACGACATTCAAAATTGTACTATTTGTTTATAATATCTCACTCATTCTTCCTTCCAAGATGTATGACTTCACACTTCTCTGCATTGAACTTCATCTGCCATGTGCTACCCATTTTATTAGTCTGTCTATATCCTCCTGAAATCTTTTATTACCCTTATTTTATTGTTATTTGAATGTTACATCATCCAAAAACTTTGAAATAATACCCAAAAATCCAGGTTGTTAATGTACTTATCTCATTAAAATGCATTATCTATATTGGTAATTGATTGAAAGTTCATAGTATTTGTTTACATAAAACCAACTTGGTTCCTTTAGTTACATTTGTGAATACTGAGGTTGGAATGATTAAATTCCATTGAATTTGTTCAATTAACTAAACTTCTGTTTTAAAGCTTTTGTCAGCTCTGACTGCCTGATATAAATGTTATCTAACACTAATCATAAATCATGTACAATACCTTCAAAATTCCACTACTCATAGGTCTTTCAGACAATGCACCTGTGCCCTGATGTACACCTTGGGCAACTCTTATTCAGGGAATCCTACATGAAAATACACTCTAAATCCTAGGGTATACCTTCGTTTTGCCCAACAGATGTTCCAAGTAAAAGCAAAACACTGCAGACGTTGGAAATCTGAAACAAACACTGAGATAGCTGGAGAAGCTCAGAGATTTGGTTGCATCTAGGCAGAGAGGAACAGAGTTAACATTTTGAGTGCAGTATGACTCTTCTTCAGAGCTGTTTTGTGCTTTGCATGCTCTCCAATTGCTACCACTGTGGAGATATTCTGAACATACTCAAACTTTTACTGCTACTAATGACCTCTCTTTTATATAGGCTCAACAGCATCCTCACAGCCCTACGTCAAGAAGACCAGCCCCTCAGCCCTTCAACTTCTTGTCCACCTCTGAGGAAGTGACAACAGATCCCTCAAGAGCATGCACTGGCAAGGCTTTTTCCTACTTAGAGACTTCCACCTCAGTGGGTACTTCACCTAGATTAGTTGGGAGCACAATCTAGTCAGAACATCACAGGCACATCCCCACAGCTGGCTAAGGAAGAAGCTACCAAGTCTCTGGCACTTAAGGAACATTGGAGATCAGGCACCTGCGCTGCCCCAGGCAGGAGAGGACTCCATCAAATTGCACAATCTGACACTCAAGAGCTGCAGGTTTGAGATATACTGGGGAAACTGGGGTGAAAGTTTGAGGTTTCTCCCAATATTATCAGTACTGTGCTAGTTCCAGCATGCATGTGTCTGTCTATCTGGATGGTCAGATTGGCTGCAGCTGCTATGAACAGCCAAACTCAACAGAATATTCAATGGCTGCAGGAAATACACATAGACTCACATGTCATTGTTTTAGCCATTGGTGCACACGGTACATTTTGCATCCTTACCACACTCAGTGTTTCCTCCAAGTGTTGTACAACATGGGGAAGAACTGATTCATTGCCTGAGGGAGGATGGTACGTGGTAATCAGCAGGAAATTTCATTGTCAAGGTTAACCTGAAGCCAGTAGATGTCATGGAGACTGGAGTCAATGTTGGGTCCTCCCAGTGCAATTCCCTCCTGACTGTATCCCACTGTGCCACCAACGCTGCTGGGTCTGTCCTGCCATTGGCACAGGACATATCCAGGGCTAGTGATCGTAGTGTCTAGGACATTGTGTGTCAGATATGAGTCTGTGAGCATGACTATGTCAGACTGCTGCTTGAGGCAGCTCTCCCAATCATGGCATTGGCCTCCAGATGTTAGTAAGGAGGTCTTTGCAGGGCTGTTTTAGCCATTGTATTTTCCAGTGCCAAAGTCAATGCTAGATGGTCCGTCCAGTTTCATTTATTTGTCAAGTGGTGTGCTAGGCTATTTCTGGGGACAGCTGATAGTCTGGATCTGGAGTTATATTAGACCAGACCAGATAAGGATGGCAGATTTCCATCCCTGAGGGGCATTAGTGAACTGGATGGGTTTTTCCAACAAGCGTTTCATGGTTGTCAGTAGATTCTTAATTTCAAATTTTTTATTAATTTCAAATTCCACCATCTGCCATGGGAGGATTTGACCAGGTCCCCATAGCATTAATAGAGTTTCTGGATTAGTTGTCTAGTGGTAATATCACTAGGCCATTGCCTCCTCTTTACATTGTCTTGCATTATGTTGCAGCTTGCATGCAAATTCACTTGCAAATGAACTTCAGAATGGAACCCGTTTGCATCCAGGGGATTATTTGAATGTTTTATATTATTTGTTTAGCATCAAACTTTCTATTTAATTACCATTTTAAACAGAAATTTCAATAGTAAATCTGTACTTCTTCCACAGCTGACCCAATTTAGAGATCTTATTTAACATGTAGATTTTAAACTGTTTAACTATGAAATAAACATCTTTGCTGCTTATAATTTTACAGTCATAAGGCAGCTGTTAATGATTATTTTGAGTGTCATGTTCCAAATAATTCAATACATAGTACACTGACTTCAAGTTGCATATTGGAACAGTCCATTATTTCCCCTGAGCAATAGTCAAGCTGTTTGATTCATAATTGTAATTCCTTGCACTGCCCAAGACAACCCACTCAGAGATTTAGATTAAAGAGTTGATTTTTACGATTTGGTGTTTAGCTAATTAAAATTGTTTCTTTACATATGTTGGGAATATTTACTGATGCAACAAGAAAACTAGTTCCCTAGATAGCTGCTGCTATTAGTACCATGGACTCAAAATTAGGATGAGCAAGTAAAAAGCTACTGTCATAACAAAATATAGTTAATAAACTGTGTGAATAATGAAAGCTGGAAAGTACACATTGCTGGATGCCAAACGTTAATGGCAAACATTTTGCTAAAGAAAATATTTCCCTTATCACGGATACCTTCCTATTAGCAAACAAAAACTAGATGACAATTTTTTTTTGATGAGATGAAAAATCTTGATTGCATCTGCCATAAATTATCCATCCTGTGCCTCTTTTATGTGAATATTTTGAAGAAAACATATCACCTAGGAGCATTTTGAAATGAATATTAGAAACAATTGTGCTTTTTTTTATTCTTCAAACTATGTGAATTATGCTTTAAACAGTACAACTCTTCACCTTCAAAAATTTGTTTGTGGGGTAAGTTAGAACAGTGAACCAACAAGGCAAAAAAATTCTGATTTGTCACATATGAAAATGACTCTTTCACCAGGCTAACAAATCACATTTCTTTTCCAGTAAGACTTTGTGAAATATTTATTTGCTGAGCACCATGCTTCCATTTTGTAAACGTCAGTAGCAATGTGGACATAGACTGAACACAAAATGAGCATTTGTAGGGTCCTGTGTACAAAAGAGATTTCATGGTAGAAATGGTACCTTGCTTAGCTTGATAATGGTTGTAAAATGAATGTAATGAGGTCCTATTTTGGGGCCAAAGCTCAGTATCATAAAGAAACTTGAAGGACATATGACCCAAAATGGGCCTCTGATTTACATACGTCTGCAGGGTCTTCTGATGTATTAGCTGTGAAATGAGTTATCCAGCAGGGATTACAATTTTAAAAAATACCTAAGTTTGACCCTAGTCTGTACTAAATTAATTTACCTCAATTGGGTATCTACAATTGGCCTTGACTATCTCTAGAGGATGAAATATTAGTCTGCTCTCAATCATCGCACAGTGACACTTGTTTTGAAGTGCATGTCATTGAATCATAGAATCCCTACAGAGTGGAATCAGGCCATTCGGCCCATCAAGTCCATTCCAACCCTCTGAAGTGCATCACACCTGTACCCACTCCCCTACCCTATACTTGTAACCCCACATATCTCATGGCTAATCCACCTAACCTGCACATCCCTATACACTATGGGCAATTTAGCAAGGCCAATCCACCTAACCTGTACATCCTTAGTCTGTGGGAGGAAACCAGAGCACCTGGAGGAAGCCCATTCAGACACAGGGAAAATGTGCAAACGCTACACAGAAGTTACCCAACCCTGGAATTGAACCCTGGTGCTGTGAGGCAGCAGCACAAACCACTGAGCCACTTGCTGCCCCATGCTTGTATACGGTCATAGATAGAGTAATTGACAAGGAATAAAATTTTTGAATAAAACTGTCAAATTGTTGATTAATGTTCAATATGCCGTACGTGCTTGAATGATGCAAATCGCAGTTCACTTGCAAAGTTATGATTTCCTGCCAGATCTAAAGTCTATGGGAGAGTCCCAGAACATATCTACTCTGAAGACTAAACAGCGAATGATTCATAGTAGGAGTTAATCCACGTAATACTAATGTATTAGCATTCACATACAAGTTCTTGGTTTTCTTTCCTTTATTCATTCACGGAATGAGGGCTGTCACTGGCTAGGCAGCATTTATTGGTCACCCCTAATTACCCAGAGGGCAGTTAAGAGTCGATCACATTTCTGTGAGTCTAGAGTCACATGTAAATCAGACCAGGTAAGGATGGCAGTTTCCTTCCCTGAAGGACATTAGTGAGCCAGATGTTTTTTTTCCCCAACAATTGACAATGGATTCACAGTCATCATAAGATTCTTAATTCCAGATATTTATTAAATTCAAATTCCAGCATCTGCCATAGTAGGATTTGAACCTGGTCCCCAGAATGTCATCTGGGTCTCTGGATTAACAGTCTAGCGATAATACCGGTAGGCCATCAGCTCCCCTAATCTGTAATCTGTTAATAACAATATTCAATGCAATTAGTACTTGCAAAAAAACCTTCTTTCAGCCTGTACAGTTCACACAATGCACCTTTATTCTTGGATTAGGTTTCTCATTCTGAAGAAATATTTAGAAAATTAACATTGGAACATTCTGTGCACAGTATTTGAATATACTTTCCATCACTGAAATGCATTGTCTGGCAGGTGTAAAATTTACTAGTAATATTATTTTGTGCCCACAGAATTTAGATTTCCAATTGTTACTTTACTTGGTAATATCCTTACTAATACTAAGTAGCCTTGCTTTTGAGTTAGTAATTTTGGTGAAACCATCACTGTCAACTATCATTATTCCAGTGAAGCTGACAGCAACTTCTGGTGTCCGTACGTGTATGGAACTCCAAATATTGCTTTCTGTGATTCTATGCTTCTACAGAGAGTAATTTGTTGATGTACTCCGAGATTACAATCACTGAGCAATCAATGGAATGGATGAGAATTTCCACTCTTAATGTGGTGAAAAGCAACTTGTTAGTCCAAGTGTAACTGGTTTTAAGTGCACTAAATTTATAACTGCTACTTTCAAAAAAATAAAAAGATATGTATTTGTATACCACCTCTCGACAACTAGGCTTTTCAAAGTCCTTTACAGAAAGTAAACTCTTTTTGAAGTGCAGTCCCTGTTGTGATTTCAAACACAGCTGCCAATTTGTAGACAGCAAATTCCCAATGGAGCAATAGCATGATTATGGTCAAATAATCCCTTCTTGTGATGTTAATTGACAAATAAATATTGGCCTGTACATTAAGGATAATCAGTCTCCAGTTCGATGGTAACAAGGTGTTGAGCTGGATGAACACAATGGGCCAGGCAGCATCAGAGGAGCAGGAAAGCTGAAGTTTCGAGTCTGGACCCTTCTTCAGAAATGGGGGAGGGGAAGGGGACTCTGAAATAAATAGAGAGAGAGGGAGATGATGATGGAAGGTGGGTAAAGGAGCAGATAGTTGGAGAGAAGATGGACAGGTCAAGGAGTGGAGCCAGTAAAGGTGAGTGTAGGTAAGGAGTTGGGATGGGGGTTGGTCAGTTGAGGAAGACGGACACGTTAAGGAGGCGGGGATGAGGCTGGTAGGTAGGAGGTGAGGGTGGGGATTGGTCAGTGAGGTGGGAGGAGCGGATAGTTGGGAGAAAAGATAGGCAGGTCAAGGAGGCGGGGACGAGCTGGGCTGGTTTTGGGATGAGGTCAAGGGTGGGGAGGTTTTGAAGCTTTTGAAGCTTCCGCAGCTACACTGGCCCTAAACCCCACCTCTTCCTCCGTTATATCGATGACTGTATCGGCGCTGCCTCGTGCTCCCACGAGGAGCTCGGACAGTTCATCCACTTCACTAACACCTTCCACCCCAACCTTAAGTTTACCTGGACCATCTCCGATACCTCTCTCTCCTTCCTGGACCTCTCTGTTTCCATCTCTGCCAACCACCTGGAAACCGATATCTATTTCAAGCCCACCGACTCCCATAGCTACCTAGAATACACCTCCTCTCACGCACCTTCCTCCAAGAATGCCATCCCCTATTCCCAATTCCTTCACCTCCGCCGCATCTGCTCCCGAGATGAAGCATTCCACTCCCGGACATCAAAGATGTCCTCATTTTTCAGGGACCGCAATTTCCCCCCACAGTTGTCGAAAACACATCATTTGCGTTTCCCGCAACTCATCCCTCACACCCCCTCCCCGCAATAACAACCAAAACAGAATCCCCCTCATCCTCACGTACCACCCCACCAACCTCCCGATTCAATGCATCATCCTCCACCACTTCCGCCATCTGCAATCTGACCCCAGTACCAAAGACATTTTTCCCTCCCCACCCTTATCTGCCTTCCGGAAGGACCACACTTTCTGTGACTCCCTCGGTCGCTCCACGCTCCCCACTAGCCCCACCACCCCTGGCACTTTTCCCTGCAACCGCAGGAAGTGCTACACCTGCCCCTACACCTCCCCCCTCACCCCCATCCCAGGCCCCAAGAAGACCTTCTACATTAAACAGATGTTCAGCTGCACATCTGCTAATGTGGTATATTGTATCCACTGTTCCCGATGTGGCCTTCTCTACATTCGGGAAACCAAGTGGAGGCTTGGGGACCGTTTTGTGGAACACCTACGCTCGGTTCGTGACAAACGACTGCACCTCCCAGTCGCAAACCACTTCAACTCCCCCTCCCACTCCTTGGACGACATGTCCATACTGGGCCTCCTCCAGTGCCACAATGATGCCACCCGAAGGCTGCAGGAACAGCACCTCATATTTTGTTTGGGAACCCTGCAGCCCAATGGTCTCAATGTGGACTTCACAAGCTTCAAAATCTCCCCACCCCTGACCTCATCCCAAGACCAGCCCAGCTCGTGCCCGCCTCCTTGACCTGTCCGTCTTTTCTCCAACCTATCTGCTCCTCCCACCTCACTGACCAACCCCCACCCCCACTTCCTATCTACTAGCCTCATCCCCGCCTCCTTGACCTGTCCATCTTCCCTCAACTAACCAGTCACCATCCCAACTCCCTACGTACACTCACCTTTACTGGCTCCATCCCCACCTCCTTGACCTGTCTGTCTTCTCTTCAACTATTTGCTCCTTTATCCACCTTTCATCATCGCCTACCCCTCTCTCTATTTATTTCAGAGTTCCCTTCCCCTCCCCCATTTCTGAAGAAGGGTCCAGACCTGAAACATCAGCTTTCCTGCTCCTTTGATGCTTCCTGGCGTGCTGTGTTCATCCAGCTCTACACCTTGTTATCTCAGACTCCAGCATTGGCAGTTCCTACTATCTCCAGTTTGATGGGTTGTTTTATGTGCACCTTAGAAAGTAGACAGTCTCACTTTAACATCTCATCTGAAAGACTGCACCTCCAACGTTGTAGCACTCCCTCAGTAGAGTACTGACTTTTGAACTCAGGTCTCTGGGGGAGTGAAAGTCCAAACTCCAACCTGGTGAATCAGACAAAAGTGTGTTACCAACTGATCACAGCTGACATTCCTGAGAATTCAATTTCATGTCAGTGAAGAGTTACATTTCTCCAATATGGATATTAAAAAAAAATCCACAGATTTTTGAAAATTCTTTCTCGATAGTGTTCATCTTCATTTCAGCTTCTATTTTAGCCTAATCCTAATAATTTATTTCACTATCTTAAAATTTGAATTAAAATTGCTTTTAACTGAGTACTTTACTGTGTATAAATGCTTCAGTGTGATGTTATTCAGCTGTTTGCTGACATCATTGCTGCTGTATACCAAGCAACCTCTTGACTTGGCAACAAGCGCAAATTGTAATCAGGAAAGGGCAAAACCACATCATAGAGAGATCTTTGTGGGCTTCTTTCTTCAAGATCACCATCGAATTCCAATGACTGCAAAATTGGTCCAAATAAATAATTTTACTCTGGAATTTTTTAGTTAATTGTGAATATTCAAAAAGCCTCCATTTAAAATGCTGATATTTATTGGCCAGGAAATGGAATAAGTTGGATGATGGATGGTGTAATACTTCTGTCAAATTGATTAACAAGAGCATTAGCAAATGAGCAAATGTACCTTTGTGTAAAGTTACTCAAAGCAATTTTTTTTATCACTGACTGAATAAAAACAATTTGTCAAAAAAATGCTGAAACAAAGATGACTTAAAAAAAGAACGTTTGTACGGTAAAGTGTAGCTTCTGTGTGGACCATTGTCTGACTAATAATGATTTTATTCATGTACTATTTTTGTACTGAAATTAAATGAAAAATTGTCATTCCAGACACCACAATATTCATAGCACATTTGAATCATCAAAGTACTTTTGATGTGTAGTCACTGAGGTATCTCAGGAATCATAGCAGCCAACTTGCGCACAGACAATGCATGAGAATCGCCAGGCAAATTTGTTTAGTGATGTTGATTGAGGCATAAATATTGCTTAAGATACCAAGTGAAAATCCCTTGTCTATGTTCGAACTAATACCATCATATCAACTGGAGAGAGCAGCCAGAGTATTGGTTGAAACAACTTATGAGAAAAATGGTGCCTTTGACAGTGCACCACTCCCTCAGTACTACATTGGTTTATCAACCTAGATGTTTTGGCTCATATCCCTGGAGTGGGACAAGAACATACAAGTCAGAGTGCTACCAACTGAATCATAGCTGATGCAGTTAGTATAAAATTAACACAGTGGTCTAAGGTTCTATTCAGTGCATTGTTTTCTTTCTCTGATGTCAGTGTAACTTGCACAAAAGATTGTGGAATTTTAAGCTCAATTTGTGTAGATCACAGCTTATGTTTGTGTGATCTTTAAATCTATCATGATGGAATAAGTTGCTCCTCTACAAAGTTTGAAAATTTACTTGTGAAACTGACTATACTGTACTAGGCTAACTAGAAAATAATTTTGTATATTTTTAAAGTGTCATCTTCAGTAATATAAAATTGGGTTACTCACAGGTCATCAGCCCTAATATCTCTTGTATGTGGCTTCATGTCAAAATTTGTTGAATAATCACCCCGTGTCAAAAAATAATGTCATACATTTAAAATCAGTTACTGAGTAACTCAAATAGTAAATTGACACTCTGATTTAAATGCTTATTTTTTGCTGCTTTAATCAAACATATCAACTTGCTGTATTTAAATATATCAAGAAATAATCTTGAAACAAAACGATATTTTCATATTATATTGTTAAGTTCTGTTTAGGGTTGGAGTGAAGATTTGTAGCTTGGGTGCTGGTTGTAGTTGTTGGTGTGTTCGCCGAGCTGGGAGGTTTGATAGCAGACGTTTCGTCCCCTTACTAGGTGACATCTTCAGTGCTGTGGAGCCTCCTGTGAAGTGCTGTTGTCTTGTGCCGGTTTGAATTTATGTGGTCCGGTTTTTGCTGCTTCCGGTAGGTGCCAGTTCCGGTTGGCCGTTGTAATGGTTGGTATATTGGGTCTAATTCAATGTGTTTGCTGATGGAGTCCACAGATGAATGCCAAGCCTCCATGAATTCTCTGGCTGTCCTCTGTTTGGCTTGTCCTATGATCGTAGTGTTGGCCCAGTTGAAAGTGTGGTTTTTCTTGTTTGTGGATTAAAAACAAGGACATCTGATTGTGTTAGAGATAGTGGAAACTGCAGATGCTGGAGAATCTGAGATAACAAGGTGTAGAGCTGGATGAACACAGCAGGCCAAGCAGTCTAGGCCCAAAACGTCAGCTTTCCTGCTCCTCTGATGCTGCTTGGCCATCTGGTTGTGTTGTTTAGTTGCCAACTGGTGTTCGTGGCTACTGGTTGCTAGTTGCCTGCCTCTTTGTCCCATATTTTGTGTAGTCTCCACATGGTATCTTGTAAACCACATTCGTCCTATCCATGGTATCTATTGGGTCTTTAACCCTCGTCAGTTGCTGTCTTAGTGCAGCTGCCGGTTTGTACAGCGGTCCGAGTAGTCTGGCTGTCAGTTCTGAGGTTCTTTTATATATGGTACGGTGGTTATTGTTTCGGCTTTTGGTGTGTCCTGGTTGTGTTGTCTGTTGGCCAGGCATCTGTGAATGAAGCTACAGCGGTATCCATTCCTGGTAAAGACCCTGTAGAGGTGTTCTTCTTCTTCCTTCTGCAGACCGGTGTGCTGCAGTGTGTAGTGGCCCTTCTGAACAGGTCCTATCGCAGCTCTGTTAAGCTCTGTCCATAGTTAATTTTGTGTTCACATTGATGCAATTGCACTTGCACGTAAACTCAGTGGAAATAAAAATTCATTTCAAAATAAGTGCGGTTTGCATCAGATTCACTGATTGCCGGCAATGCAGAAACTTTGATCTCAGTAAATACACTTACTGATAGGCCTGGACTTAATTGATAGTTCCCAGATGTTACTCATTGTTAATCAGGTTAAAAGGCTTAAATTTCAGTTAAACAGCCAATTCAACCACTTGTGCAGTAATGTTTTACACTGAACACCACAGCCTACCATAAATCCTTAGATTATTTTATCATGCACTTAACATAATGTCTGCATCAAACTGAGTCACACTCAAATTACAGTAGAAGTATTTTTACCAATGATTAAATACTTTCATATTCCATCTCTGATTTAGAGATCACTGCATTTAATTTACACTTATTATCACCTAGCTTTGGAAAGATGACAATCGAGGTGAACTCGAGGTTTTTAATGAGTCTATTTCTTTTGTATATTGTATCATTGATGATTTTTTTTGTTGCATGGCCTTTTTATAATGCCTAATAAGGGTAGAATTATTCATTTGATTCTATTTAAGGATAATTCTCCAGCAAATGTATCAGTGGTTGAATTTATGAGTCATAAACTGTGCCTAAGATACAAAATAAATCTAAATCAAACAGTTTGCACAATATTAAATCATTTGGAAATTAACAATAAATTAGGAGATAAATTTGTTATTGGTTTTCATGAAATATAACAAAATTGTTCCAATTGACTCATAAACGCAATGAAGATCACAATAAACAGGCTCATTTAATAATAAAACTTTGATTATTCTGCATTACACATGCTACTGCTGCAAAGTGAAGGGACTCAAAGACAGTAAATTAAAATATAGTGCAAAATCCCACTCGTCATTTAGCTGAATTACAGAGCTAATGTTGCAATGTCAACTGGCATCCTTTAGATAAGAGTTAAAATCATGGCCATGTTTGCCTATCAATTTAGAAGTAAGAAACATCAATTTGAAGAAGAGCAGGGGAAATTTCCCAATGTCCATCACTGCCAAACCAAGTAAAGGACTAAATCAAGACAAAATCAAGACAAAATCAAGACCACCAAAGCAAATTAACTCTTTGTTTACCTAACTGCTGTTTATAGATCTTGTACCCCAATTGAATTTCAATTAATAACTTCAGTAGTTAATATGACCTTCCAATTGTGGCCAGTACGGTCAAGTCATCACTGAAAATATACACTTGCTTACTTCCAGCTAACGATTTCTAAATATCCATTAAAAATGAAAACTGTTGTTGATATCTATCCCTCTAGTGTAAATCACCTCCCCACTCCATTCCTCAACCCTCCAAATTAAAGCTACATAAAGTCAACAATAAAGACGACACAGATTTTATTTGGACATATAAAATGGAAAATGTCAGGTTGGATTATTAGTCATTCTTTTTTCACATCTCAAAGCAAAAGTGGAACTGCCTAGTCACTTAATGATTACACAATAGTATATAACTTTGCTGGAAGCTAAATCTCGATGTTTTTATGGAACACACTAAGTGTCTTCGGGGATTAGAATGTAACTGGCCACCAACATGTGCCTGTGTTTGGATTTAAAGGGGGTATAGTTTAAGTTTACATATTAATAATTAGTAATCTGTTTCTGCTGCATGTTAAAGGATAGGTTTGTTGTAGTTAATAAGTTTTTGCTTTCTTATTTATTCATGGAGCCTACTGTGAGTATATTTTGTCTTAGATAGCAGACACAGTCAAGCATTAACCTTTCTTGGGATTAAATTGATCATATTTTATGCTTGCAAAAGTATATGGAACACTGGGGCTTGATTTCTGGTGCACTATTCCCACTAGGGTTGTGACACAATTAACACAAAGAAACATGCACACAACAACTTATGATCATCAGATTTTATGAAATGAATGTCCACTGTTGGGATAATGTGTAATTCTAATAGGCAGGTCGAGAATTAAACTTGTTTATGGTTTATTTGGAAAATGTGTAATTTGGGGGAAGGGAGTATGATGGTTCACTGTCAGAGATCAGCACCAAATTCTCCAGTCAAGTTGCTGGGCAGTCAGCTTCCCTCTAATTTGTAAATTAATTTTTTGTTCTTTTATAGGTAGTTCAGGGTGCTTTGACTTCCAGTACTTTTAGAACATAGAACATAGAACATAGAACAGTACAGTATAGTACAGGCCCTTCGGTCCACGATGCTGTGCCGACCTGTTATCCTACTCAGATCAAACTACCCTGCATACCTACA